CATCTAGTGACAAATCAATGGAGCTGCAAGATTTTAAATCTGAAGACTACTTTAGTTAAAGAACAGCCCTTACCACTAGATTTGACCTCCTTTGTACCCAGAGCTAAGGTTTAATTAGATCAGGAGTAATGGTTCCTTTACCTCCAAACTAAGTACGATTTGTACCTTCTTTAATGGTTGGGGAAAAAAAAAATCAAAAGACTATTTGGCCAGGTGTCGTGTGGCTCATGCCTGTTAATACCAACACTTTGGGAGGCCAAGACCTCCAAGAGGATCACTTGAGACCAGGAGTTTGAGACCAGCCTGGACAGCATAGTAAGACTTCATCTGTATAAAAAATAAACAAAATTATTCAGGCATATTGGTGCACGACTGTGGTCTCAGCTACTCAAGAAGCTGATGTGGAAAGATCGCTTGAGCCCCAAAAGTCAAGTCTGCAGTGAGCCGAAATTGTGCCACTGCACTCAGCCTGGGTAACAGAGTGAGACCCTACCTCAAAAAAAAAAAAAAAAAAAAAAAAGACAAAAAAGACTATTTCATGACACATGAAAATTACATGAAATTCGGATTTCAAAGACCATAAATAAACATGTATTAGAAACCAGCCACACTCATTGTTTTTGCATATTTTCTATGGCTGCTTTCACACTGCAACAGCAGAGTTGGATATTTGCAACATGGAACATATGACCCACAAAGCTGAAAATATTTATTATCTGACCTTTCATACAAGATGTTTGCCAAACCCTGCTTAGACTAGTAGTAGCTTAATACCTGGCAATGTTAAATAGGTCCGGGGTTGGGGAGAAGTTCACTGCTTTCAAATGCATTCACTGTTGATTCATTCATTCATTTCATACCCTGATCAAGGGGCCTGATCAAGGAAGAAGTTCTTGTGCACACCTACCACTCACATTCCAGGATGACAAGAGTAGGTGCCCCCTTGATTATCCATGATATCCTGCATAATTACATCCTTGACAAAACTTCACACTCTCTAGTCCCTGTGTTCTTACCAAAACAGCATTCTCGCTTCCCTCTTTCTCTCTCTGGCTCCAAGAAATCCTTAGTTGTACAGTCCTTTGCTCCCAAGAATTCCTAAATTTACTCATCCCACATGCATTTATTGGCCCATGTATCAGGCACTGGGTGCCTCAGATATAAAGATGAGTAAGGCTGGGCATGGTGGCTCACACCTGTTATCCTACCACTTTGAGATACCAGGGCAGAAGGATCATTTTAGTTCCAGGAGTTCGAGACCAACCTTGCCCACAGAGCGAGACCCCCATCTCTACAAAAAATACAAAAATTATTTGGGTGTGGTGGTGCACACCTGTAGTCCCATCTACTCAGGAGGCTGAGGTGGATGATTTGAGCACAGGAGGAGGCAGCAGTAGTCGCAATTATACCCCTGCACCAGGCTAGGTGACAAAGCAAGACCCTCTTCAGAAAATAAAATAGGCCAGGCACAGTGGCTCACGCCTGTAATCCCAGCACTTTGGGAGGCCGAGGTGGGTGGATCACAGGATGAGGAGATCGAGATCATCCTGGCCAACATGGTGAAACCCTGTCTCTGCTAAAAATACAAAAATTAGTTGGGTGGGCTGGTGTGTGCCTATAATCCCAGCTACTCTGGAGGCTGAGGCAAGAGAATCACTTGAACCAGGAAGTCAGAGGTTGCAGTGAGCCGAGATTGCACCACCGCACTCCAGCCTGGTGACAGAGTGAGACTCCATCTCAAAAAATAAAAAATAAAATAAAGATGAGTAAAATGTAGGCCCTGTCTTCAAGACACTGATCTTTAAAGGGAATTATGGAAGAGCATGTAAATGTGAGAGATAGGAGGCTAAGGGGAAGGGTATCCAGGGCTCTGAGGAACCAGGGAAAGCTTCGGAGAAGTGACAGACAAGAGAAGTAGGGAGGGTGACCAGAGCCTCAGAGCCAGGGGAGACCACTTCAGGCCCAAGGACATGCAGCATGTGCAGAGACATGAAGGCCAAGAAACAGCATGACATGTTCAACAACTACAATTGGGTGGCCATTGCAGGAGCTACAGATGCATAAGTAGTATACTTTAGCATTCTGGCAACAGACTACTGCCTTTTATGTCCCAGTGTTTCATATACAATTGAAAGCTGTTCTAACAGCAACATCTCTTTGAATGTGTGACATTGTTCTTTGCTTATATTACCACAAGTTTCACAGCACCCTTTGAGGTGGATATTGTGGCCATTTTGAAGATGAAGAAATGGAGGTTCAGAGAAGTAAGAAATACATCTGAGGCCTCCTTGTGAAAAACATCTCCAAAGTATAAAACCTAGAGAAACTGATCCATGTGCACAAGGAGACTGCACAAGAATGTTAAAGCAGCACCGACTGTAAGAGCAAAAATAGGAAACAAATTCAGTGCCTATCGAAAACGTCTAGGAGAAAGGATAAGTAGTGGTGCATTCACACAATGGATGACTGAACTGTGAAAGTGAATGAGAACCTCACATATCAACGTGAGTTAATATTAAAAAGGGCGTGTAAAAAACATTGCAAGTGAATAAGCAGTATGTATAATAACACTTATGCAAAGTTTTAAACCATGCAATGCAATATTTCATGTTACTTAGGGATATATACCTATGTAGTAAAATTATAAAGAAATACATGGAAATGAAAAATGCTGAATTTAGAATAGTATTTATTTCTGAGGGAAACAGGAATTCATGAAGAAGTACAGAAGAGGGCATTCCAGGAAGAGGGAGAAACGTACTACAGTACTGTGAGTTGAGTTTTGCAATAATGTGGTGTTTATGGGAATCACTATAGGTTTAATGTTGTTGAATCATAAAGTAAAAGCAGGGTGGGGAAGTAAGGGCAGTGGAAAGGTCATGAGATTAGGGAGGTGCACAGAAACCTCATAATACTCAGTTTGACCTTTTCCAACAGACAATGTGGAACCAGTAATGACTTTTAGATAGAACCAAACCCTTTGGCAGCAATATGGAGAGTAGACTGGAGCATTTGAAGTCAGAGGGAAATCTTAGCATGTTTCTAGCAAGAGATGATGAGACTCTGAAATAAGGCAATAGCAATGTGGCAGGAAAGCAGAGACTACCCAAAAGAAACTCTTGCTCAGTATACCAGGAGACATGTCCATCAACGGGAAAATCAGTAGAGTCATGTTTAGCAGTGAAATGAACAAATTACAGCTGTCTTCCACAGCTTAGACGATATTCAAAATATTAAGTGAAACAAGTCCCAGCATACTGCATAAAGGTGTAAATCTTAGAAAGTTTAAAAACAATCTAGGCTGGGCGCGGTGGCTCAAGCCTGTAATCCCAGCACTTTGGGAGGCCGAGGCGGGTGGATCACGAGGTCAAGAGATCGAGACCATCCTGGTCAACATGGTGAAACCCTGTTTCTACTAAAAATACAAAAATTAGCTGGGCGTGGTGGCGCGTGCCTGTAGTCCCAGCTACTTGGGAGGCTGAGGCAGGAGAATTGCCTGAACCCAGGAGGTGGAGGTTGCGGTGAGCCGAGATCGCGCCATTGCACTCCAGCCTGGGTAACAAGAGCGAAACTCCGTCTCAAAAAAAAAAAAAAAAAAAAAAAAAAATCTAAATGTGTTTTAGCCATGCCTGTGTGTGATAATACACAGAGAAAGGAAATGAACAATACAAACCAGGTTAATGATTTCTCTGGGAAACAGAAGATGAGATGATAAGATATATACATACATACATACATATATATTTGTGTGTATAATATATATTATAGATGTATATACTGAAAGAGTAAGATGGAGAGAGAAAAAGGTCATTTATGGACCAATGATGACAATGTCTCATGACCAAGGATTGTGCTTAATCTACTCTGTGTATTTAGAGCATAACAAAGGAAAGAAAGATTATAACCAAGGCTTTATTGTAAAGATCATAAGATGTTTTGTTTTAGTTATTTTCCTTTTCTTTGTCCTTTTCTTCCTCCATGCATGCTTGCTTGCACGTAGTCATTTCAGTAGAGGGTAGTCACTAGTAATTGATTAACTTCATATCCTAACGCCGGAACTGCAGGCAAGACTGATGAACTTGTTTTTATTTTAAAGAACAATGAACCGGGCACGGTGGCTCACGCCTGTAATCCCAGCACTTTGGGAGGCCGAGGCTAGTGGATCACTTGAGCCCGTAAGTTTGAGACCAGCCTGGGCAACTAGCGAGACACCCCCACCCCCTGCCCAATCTCTATAAAAAAGAAGCAAAAGTCAGCCGGGCGGTCGTGCTGCGTGACTGTGGTCCCAGCTACTTGGCAGGTTGAGGTGGGAGGATCGCTTGAGCCCGGGAGGTAGAAGCTGCAGTGAGCGGTGATCGCGCCACTGCACTCCAGCCTGGGCTGCAGTGCGAGACCCTATCACAAACAAAACAAAACAACGATGACCCTTAGGTCACGCAGACCTCCTTGATGGTCCAGAAGTCTGACTGGGACAAATGAGACCTAGAGTCCCAGGGAGGAAACAGCTTTGATCATGGGATCCCACCCCCTGTATTCTTACCTTACTCATAAAAGCCCCCCGTTCCCTTCAAAGGCATGTCGGTATTTGAAAGACTGCCTCTCTCACCCTCTCGCTTTGGCCAAATGGAATAAACCTTCCCCCGCTCCTAAGCACTGAATGTGTCGGTGTTTGGCTTACTGCGCTTTTGGTATACGAACCTATATTTGGGCGTTGATAAGGCAACAGATCTTGTATTTTTCAGATACTTTGGGGATGGAACGCAAATTTCCAGACTTTTTTTTTTAATCAGTTGTCTTTATATTCATTCTCCCAAGGTGAGCGCCCCTACGAACTTTTCCTTCCCCTCAAAAGGAGGGCAGAGGGATAGGACCAAAACCAGTCGCGCCAGTGAGACGATAGAGCCGTGCCAGGAATTGCCAGGCAAGGGGGCGGAGCAAGCAACAAGGCGGTGCTCAAGGGGCTTCCTGGGCGCTGGGCTGGCCGCGCAAGCGCAGTAGCGCGCCTCGCCGCCATGGCGAATGCGCTGTCCAGTCATCCGCCGGTAGTGGCCGCGACTTCCCCTCAGGAAGCCAGGTCTCCGCCTCCTCCTCCCGTCCCGCCTGCTCTGCGGCGGAGGCGGCGGCGGCGGCAGCGGTTGTTCCTGCCTCTCCGCCACCTCCACCGCGGTTTATCCCCTGGCCGGCGGCGTTGGCGGGGCGGGGGACAGTAGTTGTAGACGCCCGCCCCTGCCTCAGAGAAGGTGAGTTCCCGCCCCGGCGGCGGGGGCGGCCCGGTCTTCAGCCCCTCAACTCTTGCGCTACAGGACAGGCCCGCGCGCCCAGCCTGCCGGGTGCACCCCGGGTGTGCAAAATGGCCGACCAGGGCGTGGCCGGAGTCCCGCGCCCCCCTCACCGGCCGCCGCACCCGGAAAGGGGCGCCAGGGCTTCCGAGTGGAGTGCAGAGCGAAGGGGAGCTCGGCTCGCGGAGGAAGCCGAGGGTGGAGTGGGAAACTAGGGGAGTCTAGGCTGAAATCTAGACCCGGAGCGTCAGGGAAAGGAAAGGGGGGTTGATGAGGAAACTCGAAAATTGAGGGGAGAGGGATAAGGAGAAAAAAGCCCAAGACGTGGAAGAGAGTAAGCCTCCGTTTGTTGACGTTCAGCATCCTGGAAAGTAGAGACTTCGACGTAGGACACAGGGAGAGGTGGATTTCGGCCCCGGAGAGAGCAGGAAGTTGCGGGGCCCTTCGGGGAAGAGAAGAGGGGATGAGGTTTGAGGGGATCACTTTGGATAGCTTCCTAGGCTTTTGAGGATATGACCCTGTAAGACAAGCTTCTAAGATTTAGAGGCCCATCTTGATAGTGGTCAGGGTGTGTGTGTGTGTGTTCCTCTAATTTAGAAACGGGGATCTCGATGTGTGTGTGTGTGTTCCTCTAATTTAGAGACAGGGGTCTCGCTGTGTGTGAGTGTGTGTGTGTTTAATCCTCTAATTTCGAGACGGATCTCGCTGTGCCCAGGCTGAAGTGCAGTGGCGCGATCATAGCTCATTGCAGCCTCCAACTCCTGGGTTTAAGTGATCCTTCTGCCTCACCCTCCGGAGTAACTGGGACTACAGGCGAGAGCCACCGCGCCCAGCTGAGTTTTAATATGTACCTACCAATGTTAGAGATATACAAAGCTGGACATTAAAGCATTGAAAAAAGATTTTATTTCGAAACTACTGACAGTGTGGGGGAAATACTGAGGTGCATTCCGATTTTCACAGAGGTGACTCCGAGTTTTAAAGGGAGAAAGAGAGAGTAGGGAGGGGGAAGAGAGGGCTCAAGTAGAGTCAGGGAGATGAAAAATTACACAGGGCTGGTCAGTATATAATTGCAAGTAGGCCAGCTGTGTCTGCAATCTGGAAATTATCTAAGATAAAATACTGTCCTCCCGCAGAGACTGGGAGTCAGGCCCCATCTTTCTTGGTTATATTTCAGAGCAATGGCTTCCAGGTCCTTGAGGACACTCCTGAGTTATAAGAGGTACAGACATCTCAAAGGAACAGAGGAGGATTCGTGGTTGTGAGCCCTTTTTAGTAAATGCTTTTTAAAAGGGAAGTCAGGGAGCTGTTACTAGGTGTTGGCTAGAACAAACAGTAAAATTTTTTTGACAGCCTGGCTTTTCCAACAGGAACTCAAAAGAGTGTTGGATGTGGCCTTAGCCTTCTGGACGCCATGTTAAATTTTAGACAGTTCTCCAGGAGTGTGGAGAGTTTTGTAGTTTTCCAGCACATTTTCCCTAACAGAAAAGGCTATTAATCATCTTAATCTAAGATGGTTGAGTTCTTGCTGTAATAGTTCTATATGTCTACAAAGAGCCTGCTTGAGATAAGGCTTAAAGCAATTCTGGGAATGATTTTAGTTGACAGTGCTTGATTCCACTGCAGAAGACCTAAGTAAAACATTCAGCCATGTTCAATATCAAAATTTTTAGTATTTCCTATGCCTTATGTTGCTTTTTGTCTTCAGAGTGAAAGATGATGCGAGCCAGAATATTGTAGAATAATTTTGATTCCTTTTCCCAGAAGAGAAACCCATCACTATAATAACCCCATAAAAATATTAACTTCTTTATCCTTTTTCATCATGTTACATTTTGTGTGTTATCCCATAATATTTTACACAGTTAGCTTTGTGTCAATTGACTTTGGAGAACTGGCAGAGGAGTAAAATACTGCAAATTTCTTTTTTCTTTTTCTTTTTTTTTTTTTAAGATGGGGTTTCACCATGATGGCCAGGCTGGTCTTGAACTCCTGACATCAGGTGATCCACCCACCTTGGCCTCCCAAAGTGCTGGGATTACAGGCATGAGCCACCGCGGCCAGCCTGCAAATTTCTTAAAACATTTTCGTAAGCACTTTTTCTATTCACTAAAAATGGAAATTAGTCATTGCAACCAAATGATGTTCTATTAAGTTCTCTTATGAAGGCTATTTTGGAAGACTAGATTTAGTGTCTTCAGTCAGCTTGGATGTAGTATCATTTTTTTGAGATTTTAAAAGGTAAAATATCCTGGATTATATTTTGCTTTTACAACAAGTTTCCTGCCTCTCACTGATAAATAAGCCTGCGCAGTTTAAAGACTACAATTCAGGGCCGGGCGCGGTGGCTCAAGCCTGTAATCCCAGCACTTTGGGAGGCCGAGGCGGGTGGATCACGAAGTCAAGAGATCGAGACCATCCTGGTCAACATGGTGAAACCCCGTCTCTACTAAAAATACAAAAAAAAATTAGCTGGGCATGGTGGTGCGTGCCTGTAATCCCAGCTACTCAGGAGGCTGAGGCAGGAGAATTGCCTGAACCCAGGAGGTGGAGGTTGCGGTGAGCAGAGATCACGCCATTGCACTCCAGCCTGGGTAACAAGAGCGAAACTCCGTCTCAAAAAAAAAAAAAAAAAGACTACAATTCAATTTGGCTCCCATGACCAGACCACAGTAAGATTTGGAAATAGCTTCTCATGGAAAAAGCTTTTTGCCAGATTCAGCATTTGTTTTTGTTTTTGATTTTGCAGTGACTTCAAATGTGTGCCAAAGACTTTAAAAGATGTCAGTTCACACAATACTAGCAGTAACCTTTCTCTTCCACTTCAAGGTGGTAAAATGAGAATATTGGAATAGGAGTCTGACTAGTTATAGGTTCTAGTGCTAGTTTCTCCTATAGCTAAATGACCCTGAGTAAGTCTCAGACTTTCTGGATTTGAGTTTTGTCATCTGTGGGTGGAGGAATTGGACTAGCCCAGTGACTCTCAATTAGGGATGATCGTACTCCCCAGAAGACCTCTGACAATGTGGAGATATTTTAGGTTGTCATCACTGAGCAGAGAGGGACAAGAGCCAATCATAATTCCAAAAGACGCAATCCCGAATTTTTTGTTGAAATTCCTAAAGTCTAAAATCCCCAAAATCACAGTCACAGACCAAAATCTTGAAAATAATAGATGCGGGGAAAGTTTTTTTTGTTTTTTTGTTTTTTTAATTTAAAATATGTGCCTGGCACGGTGGCTCACGCCTGTAATCCTAGCACTTTGGGAGGCTGAGGTGGGTGGATCACCTGAGGTCAGGAGTTCAAGACCAGCCTGGCCATCTTGGTGAAACCCCATCTTTAAAAAAAAATATATATATATATATATATATATATGTTTATTTACATTTTTAAAGGGGAATTTAAGAAACAGAAATGTGACAGCACTTCGTAGGTCATTTTACAGAATAAAAGGCAATAGTAACATTTTTGCAAATAAACATTCAGGTATACTGACAGTCACATGCATATAACAGTTATGAGCAGATGAGCTGTTTATAAAGAAGTAGGTCAAAAAGGGAAATGTATAAAAGCATATCACTATGGTTGGTAGTTGTGTGCACCCAGCCTTATAACTGGCCATCTGAAGTACTGTGACAAACAACCTAGACAAAAAGTCTTTTGATGAGATAGATCAAAAACCACAAAGGGTCAGTATTCACTTACGCAGTTGCCCAAAGAGCTAAAACTTCAAGAAATTTTTACTTTCAAAAATGCAGATAGGCAAAAGACATCTCTCATCTCTTCATTTATTGAGGAAGTCAGCGTTTTTAGGTACATGCACAGTGCTTAACAAAGTCCGTGTTCTGATAATGTACTTTCATGAAGTCAAATTTACAAAAAATGCATAAGAAAAACTAGAATGCTAAAAGTCTGCAGTTTACACTTCTAGTATTGGAAATGATGCAAAGGTGAAATACATAGCATGGTGAATTATTTTTTTTTAAATCTGACAATTTAGTGAAAAAAAATTTGCAAATGAGAAAATATATTACAGGAATAGATTATGGGCAGTTGCACAGTGATAGTCCATGAAAGCTGGCCTGACGTGATGCAGCTATCCTGCAATTGGGATTTTAGTCTTTTGGGATTTCAACATTTGGGATTATCATCTAAACCCACAAGAACATGGTGAGCAAGTGCAGGTACTACCAGCATCTACTTGGTATAGGCCACAAACATCCTAAAATGCACAAGACCGTTCCCACACTCACACAACAATGGATTATCCTACTCAATGCCAGTAATGTCATGTTTGAAGAACCCTGCACTAACCAAACTCGGGTCTTTTACAGCTTTAAAATTATGAACTGATTTAACACATCTGCGTTGGTATTCTTTCCATGGCTTGACGTGGCTGGGTACTAAAATAGCAATTCATAAAGTAGATGAAACTTTGGCCTTTAATGGCTGACATTCAAAGAGTAATCTCAGGCAACATTCAGAGTAATCTCTGTTGAGTTAAGGTTGAGACTATTCACTAGAATTTGAAAAGCAATATAATTGTTACCTAAAAAAAAATTACCTATTGTCACTTCTGGTAAATAGCCTTCATTAAAGTTTCAGTTACTGCCGCTTTACAATTGGCAAATATTTGATATGTCACACTATCTGAAACACTACTAGAACTCAATATATTTTTATTTTAGGTATTTATAAAAGTTTTAAATAATTGCCAGGATGGAAAAAAGTTTGCTTGGCACTTAGCTAGAATTTTTTTTAAGACTTTGTTAGCAGATTTCTCCAAAGGTATCAAAGAATTATCATGTTTCCAGTTATTAAAATTCTACCCTCACTTTCAAAATTCTGATAGGACCATTAAAACTGATTTGAAGAGCATCTGCTAATCCATTTTCACCTATACCTATAGCACCCTTCTGAGGAACTCCTCTGTATTGATCTTGATAATGAGCAAATGTCAG